TGCTAACTCGTTTGCATTCCCGGGATTGCATTACTGTGTCTCTGGCGTCGTTTCTATCCTTCTTCCATCTGAACGTGAGGGACAATCAGGCAGTCATGCCATCTAATAAAAAGAATAATGCATGTATGATAGTTTTGACTCCCAGCGTGAAATCAGAAAAACTGTAAGCATAGTAGATTCCCCAGTGCTGGATAAATAAAAATCTTGATGTGGGTAGGAAAATACCTAAACCCCCTTTGTGAATGCCATCTTTGATGAAGACGGTGAACGCTTAATCCTGCATGTCATCTGGGCGTCCCTCTGCCTTTAAGAAGCAACTGGAACGTACCATAGCACCCAGAGTTCAGTATCCTCAAAGCTTCCTGTCTTAAGGGCATACTGCTCATTCCTAATGTACCCTTCTGCTCCTTTCTTTGTTCCTTTTTTTAAAATAAAAATTTGATTTTTAATAGAATGCATGCAAAGAGTTACAAAATGCATGAGCACAAAATAGTATATTGGTGATAAACTGTCCAATAAAATCCAAAGGAGGAAACCTACTCTAGAAGTATCTCTAGATTGTGTGGTTAGAACTAGTAGCATCACCTAATATTACGAGGAATGTTCAAGATGTTTTGGAACAGGAGCAGTCTAATATATCTGCTGGTATCCATATGTACGTCTTCCAAAGATTAGGAAAGCCTTTACCTTTGAATTCTACATCTTAATGTGCATAAGTGGGGGAAGAAAGCGGAACATAAGCTAAATCCTAAATTAAATCGGGTAGTAAACACACCGTTGAAAGTGGGCCTTGGAAAAAGTTCTGAATTAAAAGAAGCTGCATGTGCACGGAATGCAGTGTGATACATCAGTTCTCTAAAGCAACATGTTGTAAAATTTTACTGCTTTCTTGTTGTGTTTTATATCTTGTTCTCTACAGGCTTCGTGGACTCGACCAGAGAAGCAAGAGGTATAGCTTACCTGACCACTAGCCAGTCTGTAGTTTTGAAAGCATTACAGTTCAACTCACCATTGCAGTTTAATAACCAGACATGCTAAAACTAATCAGTAATTTAGTCAGATTAACGAATAGGTCAATAGTGGTAGACATTACTTAGCAATAGTGTCACTTTAGGATGAGCAAACAAGCTGTGTTGGGAGTGGATGAACGAATCCTTATTATTTCCTAAAACTGGATCTTATTCTCTTGCTGGTGCTGATAAAATCACATCCGGGTAATTATACTTCGAGAAATAAATGGCCCCAACGCCCAGGCCAGGCATTTTGAAATGATACAAGTTTTTTGACTCTTACCTGGTTGATGTGGCTTTGGATCATAAAGTCACAGAGTTAATAATCTAAAAACCCACTCAAGCCCTTACCTTTCCAGCTCAACTCATCTTGTTGCTCACTTATCTTATCCTGACTGGTCTTTTGGTAAATTACCACATCACATCTCATCTCGGAGCAATGCAAATGACATCTCTCACTGGTTTTCCCAAATTGCTAAACATATCTATGTTACTGTTATAGAGCATTAAGTTTATGAGATTAGAATGATTTGTCACAAATGGTTCTTTTTTTTTTTTTTTTTAAGTCAGTAGCATATTTAGCCTTTGAAATTTCTCTGACTGCTTGCTCCAGTTTGGGTAATGTGGGACTTAGTTTGAAAACTGAAGCTAAATATAAATCTTTAGACTGGAATCGCTACATCCCCAAGACCCTACTGATGATCATCCTATCATTCTTGACCAGATTTGTGTGATTAAGTGACAGATAGTGAAATAAAAAACAGTATGTTTTAGATGAAGTTCAGGAATCTCATCTATAAATACTTTTTTTTAAAAAGTAGCCTTTTCTCCAGATGGAACTTTGATATTGTGTAATACTATAAATGCTGAATATGGCAATCCTGTAGACTGTATTTTAATTGGGTAAACCCATCCTCCGGTCTTTCGGAAATGATAATTATTCAGAACACATAACTCACGTGTTCCGGTCATAGCTATAAATATTTAATGCCGTTTAATATTTAAAAGTTGACTGCCTGTCCCCAGGCACTGTTGCTAGTTTCTGCACCCTGCCGTAGTCAGATCTAATTCATTATAAGCTCTCTTTGTATCGTTCCTTCCTCCACGTCGTAGGGACTGTAGTTAGGTGCATACCCTCGCTAAAACACTTGCCTCCTGTAAACACTCCCCCGGAGTGCTGTCACAGACTGGGTGTTTTTATTGCCCAAAAGTCATGCTCTCGTTGGGATTGGGGAAGGGAGAAAAGAAGGGTTAACTCTCAGCCACTCCTGAGCCACTACCCCTCTCGTTCTGCTCGGCCTTGTGCATCTTCCCCGTCACGCAGATTTAGACGGGGCTAGAAGAGGAGCTGAGATTTATCAGGGAGCATTAAGGAGATGTTGAGAGAATTGTTATTATTAGTGGAAGTAATTGGTTTACTCCCAGGAAAACAGACACCTCACTCCATTTTGCAGACGTGTCCTTATCTTAAGTTATCTCGCTCTGGACGTAATTGACTTTCAAGTGAGTTCTGCCCCCTGAGGCTCAGAAGTTCCGTTCCCTCCTATTTGTCTCAGTCAGGGATGAAGACCATGAGTCCAGATGAGCTCAGAAGAAGGCTTGGGTCATGGCTGATTTCATTCTGTAAGTTCTGGAAAGCCTTAGGACTCTTCCCTGCAAGAAGAGAGACAAAAATGTTTTGATGAGAAGAGCAATTATAATCGCCCTTCGTACGTTTTTGCAAAACCGGGCCTTCTTGCCACAGTGATCTTTTCATTCGTGCCCAGAGTTTATCTGCTTCCTCCTCAAGTCTGGACCATCAGCATGACGTGTGGTCTGGGTGGCTTGGAGGTGGCACTCCCTGACTTTGTTCTGGTGCCAGAGTAAATCATTTCAGAGGGAGATAGTCCAATCACACTGGAGTCTGTCTGCATCCCCTCGGAGGGAGAACTGGGCGTCTGGCAAATAATTCCATCATCAATCCTGTTTTGAGCCACCGCAAAATAAAATTCTCTATGGAAGCCTGCCTACTGCTCTGCTGACATCATTAAATGAGAAAATTTTCCAGAGAGAAATTTAGACAAGGAGACCAGAGAGGAGGGGGGGGGGGAAAGTAAGGCTGTCAGTGCAACCATTGCCTGAGCTTCTCTTTGACCATTTTCTAGATTATTCTGAGTGAAACCTGCTCATGCCCCCCTTTGTGGTTACTTGTTAATGTCCTTCTCTTACCTACGGGACTTTCTTTGCATCTTTTGCTGTTGTATCCTTCCTTATGGAAATGTTCTCTTGACTTCTGAAAGATTCTGATCAGTTTTCCGTGTTTGTGGTGGCAGCCCCAGGACAAATCCTGGGTGTGTGACAAAAAATTACAGTTCAGTCGCTGGCTGGCATCACTGTTGGCTGAAGCTGTGATCTCGCTGAGATAAGCAGGAAGGCCGGGGTGAACCATGAATCCCCTCTGCCTTCATTCTGCTGTCTTGGGAGTATAGGAATGACAAGCAGGTCAGGTCAGCCCTCAGAGATACTTGCAGCGTTGACCTCACACTCCTGATGCCACGAGTTTAGGGGATGCTTCAAGATTTTGTTTGGCACATGACTGTAGACTTTGGAGACAAGTGCTCCACGGCTGCCTGTGTCAGCTCCCGTTCATCCCCTGGGGTGCAGCTTCTCAGCCCATCAGCTTCCCAGCTTCCCAGGCCTCGTGGAGGCCGAGAGCCAAGGCATCTGGGCATTCCTGCAGAGAGGGGTGGCCCTCGCTGCAGTAGGTAGTGATGGTTTTGCTCGGCTTTTCTGCCTCTTCGCTGGCAGCTGTGTTCCGGCTTCTGGATATGAATGTGATGGGACTTGAATGACTGAAACAGATTAGCTCTACCAGTGATGGGACTTTTTGTGGTAGATCTGAGGCTTCTGTCAAGGCCAATGGTGTCTTGCTTTTGAGCTCCCCAAACTGGCTGCCATACGATATTTCAATGCTGGGTTTTGGGCTTCCGAACCAGCAGCTAAAAAGAACCTGGAGGCAGGTGTTCTTTAGTTCTTTCAAGACCCAGCCTCATGGGATGACGGGCGATATGCAGAGCACCCACCTGTCTATCTCTATGGAATATTGCTCACTGGACTTAAAGAGTGTGGCCCAGCCTACGAGGAGCTAGACTCCTTCAGATTGCCAGCTTTCTTGAGGGTCTGAACTCAGACCGCATGCCCAGACTCTTCCTAGGCCAACAACCAGTTTACTTAAGAGTGTCAAGGGGGGAATCCCCTTGGAAATATTTCAGTGCCCATTGGCCAGGGCTCATATGCTTATTCCCTGTTTGACCGACTCTTGTAATTCCAGAGACGCAGGAAGACAATTCTAGTGTCAAGGGCTAGACTATGGTGACTATAGTGTCCAGGATCCCAAATCTGCCTGGGATTCCCTGTGTCACTGTTCCGGGAGAGAGGACCCGGTTCCCCTCACTTCCAGCTCAACAGCTCCTGAGCTCCAGATTGTTGGACTTTGTTCGATGAAATTATTTTACTTTTAAGCATCCAGGAAAGTAAGGCATCTGCAGAAATATGGATTTCTTGTATAATTTCTTTTATTCAGATTTCCCATCATGTGTGCGTGCACCAAGGAACAGGCAGGTGGGCGGGGGGCTAGAAGGAAAGGACGGGAGTGCAGGTTTCCCCGAATCTCACGAGGCAGGACTGTTGCAGCTGCAATGCCTGCTGGCCAGACTTTGGCTTCCGTTTTAGACGTGCCAACCAAATCGTCTTGGGGGCCTGGGTTGTCCTTCTCAAGCCCATCTTGGCACATAGGCTAGGCTGCTTGGGTAAACTGAGTCCCGTTTTCTGTCTGGGATGCACCCAAGTTCCCACAGTGCTCTCCGGAGCCTCCTCGCGAGTCGGTACCTAAAGCGACTCAGACATTGGCCCAGAGAGCAGAGGGCTGTGAGGCTGGTCGCAGACAGTGATGGCCCGGTCTCCTGGCCCCGCCCAGCCCCGGGCCTGACGCTGTCCCTCCCCTCCTGGCAGACCCTGGACGGGCACATGGTGGTGCGCAGCCATGCCCGCGTGTCGTCCCTGACCCTGAAGAGCATCCAGTACACAGACGCTGGGGAGTATATCTGCACCGCCAGCAACACCATCGGCCAGGACTCCCAGTCCGTGTACCTCGAAGTGCAATGTGAGGAAAACGGTGGGAAGACAGGGGGCAGGGAGGGCCGTGCAGCTGCCGGGACCCGGCCCATGGTGGTTGGCCCCTGGCCATTTCAGAGCTGTGTCCCCAAGGCACCCCTTCACTCCATCCCCCGGCTTCTTACCAGTCTCCGTGTCTCCCTGTGCAGCTCATGGGAGGGGACCCCGATCTCTGCTGTCCCCCGGCACCAGCTCGGCCTCAAGGCGTGACCAGCTTCCCGGTGCCAGGAGATGGAGTGGGGGGAGGGGTCACGATCGTGGCAGTCTTCCTGAGAGCTGTCGTCCTTCTTCGCAGATGCCCCCAAGCTTCAGGGCCCTGTGGCTGTGTACACTTGGGAGGGCAACCAGGTGAACATCACCTGCGAGGTGTTTGCCTACCCCGGTGCCACAATCTCGTGGTTCCGAGACGGCCAGCTGCTGCCAAGCTCCAACTACAGCAATATCAAGATCTACAACACCCCGTCCGCCAGCTACCTGGAGGTGAGACGTGGGGGCGGTGGGCAGGGTGGAGGAGGCGCCGTTTGAGGATGGGCAGGCTGCTGGACACAGCTGAAATCTTCTCACTTGCTTCTCTGGCACGTCCTGAGCGGGGGAGACACTGGCTGAGGAAGAAAGTGCGCCTCAGCCCTCGTTTTCTCCCCGGAGCTAGACGGGGGCCTGGGAGGCAGAGTGTGCCTCTCCCATGATCCCCTTTTCTGTTCTCTCTGGGTTCAGGCTCGGCTGCAGCTTTACTGATTCTATTCTCTACTAATTTTAGTTCAATAAATAAGGATCTGAGGTGGGGGCCCATCCGTGGGACACTCGTAACTCAAGAGCTCCTTCTTTCTAAAGGTGACCCCGGACTCTGAAAATGATTTTGGAAACTATAACTGTACCGCAGTGAACCGCATCGGACAGGAGTCTTTGGAATTCATCCTTGTCCAAGCAGGTGAGCACCCCTTATGGCTGCACACCCTCACCCTTGCCGGCCCTTTTCATGACCTTCTGTGATGACAGGAGCATGGGAAGAAGAGGGGGTGAGAGTCAGGAGGCTGGGAGCTCTGCGGGCTTTGAGGATCTGGACATGGGACACGTTGGGAAAGAATTGCATGGTGAGGTGGACCAGGGGGAGACAGGATATAGACGACAAGATTCCCAAGAGTTGAAAGAAATGAGAGAGATGTGTTTCGTGATTGGGAATTACGTCCTGGGCCAAATCAGGCTCACCTGAGTCTCCACGTGTGTCCTTTCCACAGACACCCCATCATCACCGTCCATCGACCAGGTGGAGCCATATTCCAGCACAGCACAGGTGCAGTTTGATGAGCCAGAGGCCACGGGCGGGGTGCCCATCCTCAGATACAAGGCTGAGTGGAGAGCAATAGATGAGGAGGTGTGGCACTCCAAGTGGTATGATGCCAAAGAAGGTAAGTTGGAGAGTGCCGGTTTACTTTAGAATGATGGCTCTGGGCTCACGCTCACCCCTTGCGTTCACCAGATGCTGGCACCCTGACTGCCCATTTGGGTGGGGTGCACACCGCTCCCCAATACTGAGAGAGGCCAGATGCCAACACCTGCCGTCCTGTTGATGTTCCTATGCTGCAACGCCATCACCGGCCCCCCAGGCTTAGGGTGTGGTCACATCTTATGTGGAGTTATTGGCCTCTGCCCCCTGGTACTTCAGAACCTGGTTCTCGTGACCCTGCCGGGACAGATGAGGCCAGCGTAGCCACGTGCCAAGCGGAAGCCCTGCTCAAGTGCTGAGCACAGCCAGAGGAGTCCAGTCCACCCCTGCTCTGCATATTTGAGTTCCATGTGCTTCAGGTTCTCTGCTGCCACCCATCCAGTCCTGCTCGGGTCTATTCAGGGACTGCCCTGTAATTAACCAAATGATCAGAGCCAACAAGACAGGTCTGCTCTTACGTCAATCCTATGATATATTTCCAAACCACAGATTTGAAAAATAACCCTTGGGTGACTGCAGTTTGAAGTCTCTGAGCTCGGATCATGTTTCCCTGAGGACTGAATATATTTATGTCTGACTCTCCCTTTGGGGTTTAATTGGAATAACTCAGTGAAGTAGGTTTTGTTTCTGTAGACATTTTTAATCCTGGAAATAAGGGTAGAATTGGGAATGGGCTAGGACACGGTGTCATAGCAATTCAGAGACATCTTCTAACCCAGGTTTACTGAGCATTCGTCCTGCCAGGAAGCTCCTGTCACTCCTTCAGCTTTGGGGAGGGCTTGGAGGACTTTCTGGGTAATCAGGATTAGAGCTAGAAGAAAATGATCCTTGACCTCCCTGACTCCCCCCCGAAACCTCGTACCAAATCTGTGGCTTTTTTTTTTTCTAGTTAACTTTTTTATTGTGGTAAAATATATTTAACATAAAATGTATTATTTTAACCATTTTTAAGTGTACAGTTCGGTGGCATTAAATACATTGACGTTGTTGTGCAACCATCACCACTGTCCATCTCCAGAACTTTTTCATCATCCTAAACTCAATACCCATTAAACAATAGCTCCCCATTCCCTCCTTCCCCCAGCCCCTGGCAACCACCATTCTACTTTCTATATAGTTGACTAGGAATAGTCTCTGTATAGTTGACCCTTCTAGGTACTTCATATAAGTGGAATAATACAACATGTGTCCTTTTATGTGTGGCTTATTTCACTTAGCATAATGTCCTCAAGGTCCATCCATGTAGTGTGTGTCAGAACGTCATTCCTTTCTAAAGCTAGATAATATTCCATGGTATGTATCGACCACATTCTGTTTATCCATTCATCTGTCAGCAGACACTTGGGTTGTTTCCACATTTTGGCTGTTGTGAACAATGCTGCTGTGAACGTGAGTGTACAAATACCTATTCCAGTCCCTGCTTCCAGTTCTTTTGCACATATGTCCACAAGTGGAATTGCTGGATCAAATGATAATGCTATGTTTCATTTTGGGGAGACCTGCCCTGCTGTTTTCCACAGCAGCTACACCACTTCACCAACAGCCTTTTCCTCCTTTGTGACCCTTTCCATATTTTCATGACAGCCAGCGTGGAGGGCATCGTCACCATCGTGGGCCTAAAGCCCGAGACAATGTATGCGGTCCGGCTGGCGGCCCTCAATGGCAAGGGTCTGGGCGAGATCAGCGCAGCCTCCGAGTTCAAGACGCAGCCAGTCCGTAAGTAAAGCCAGCTGCCCAGCCTCTTCCCCTGGGGGGCAGGGGGGGCCGTGAGCGGGCCCATCCACTGTTCAGATGACAGCTTTTTGTCTTTCAGACCCTTCTGCTCACGGTGGTCCCATCTCCTAGTTCTCTCGCCCTCGGTGATGGCTGATACCCAGTCCCTTTGTCCTCACTTTCTTTTTTTTTTTTTTTTTTTGCGGTACGCGGGCCTCTCACTGCTGTGGCCTCTCCCATTGTGGAGCACAGGCTCCGGACGCGCAGGCTCAGAGGCCATGGCTCACGGGTCCTGCCGCTCCGCGGCATGTGGGATCCTCCCGGACCGGGGCACGAACCCACGTCCCCTGCATCGGCAGGCAGACTCTCAACCACTGCACCACCAGGGAAGCCCCTGTCCTCACTTTCTTGAAGGGCTTGGTGACACCATCGTAGCAGCTGGTCCAGTTTGGTAGAATAACAGCCAGGGAGGAAAACCACTAACACGTGTTCTTAAAGACAATAGGAAGGATCACGGCTGCGTGGTAGGGAGGGATTTGGGTAGATTTGCTTTTTGTCACCAGGGCCCTAAGCACCCGGTGACCTGAGGGAAGACAGTAAAGTCAGTGACAGTTGACATAATTAGTTGTGGGATTTTTGATGCAGCAGAGATACTCAGTTACAGGAAAACGGAGCCTGCTGTAGAGTGTATGAGCAGCAGCAAAACCCCAGCAAGGCCAATGGGAAAAACATGGCCTCTGACGTTCCTGCCTCTCCTCCCTTCCCACACCCAGAGCACAGTCGGGGTCTCCCTGGTCAAGGCCTCTTTCAGGAGTCGCTTCTTCCTGATCCCATTCAGGGTTGCAGCTCTGTCTCCATCACTCCCTGTTTCCTTAAACCAGGCATGCCGTACTTTTCCCTCCCTTCCCGCACATAGCCAGGCTCTGGGTGAGCCCTGGTCTAGTCCTATCCCTCCACAGACTGGAGTTCCTGCCCTGGGAGAATGGTGAGTCCATGCGGGTGAAGAAGGTGCTGTAGCACAGACTCCCCCAGTGGTCACAGAGCTCCCTGGGCCCTCTCTGACTCCTGAGATTAAAAAGCACGTGGGGGAATCCTTTGCTTTCTTCTCTCTGAAGCCGGGGGCCTGGGAAGTGATCCCCTTACCTCTTCCCAGAAGTAGAAAACCTGTCTCGTCTTCCTCGTACAGGAATTGCTTCTTTCTGGATTTGAAGTAATTTGATAATTTGAGTTTCCAGCTCCGTGTGTTCTGCGGATCCTATTCATTTCTTTTACATCTTATTTTTTTTTCTTGGGTCTGTCTCTTGTCTTTTCTTTTCGTCTGTGTTCCATCCATGGGATATGCAGATAGCCCTCTTCCACGTAAGTGCCTCTTCATACCTCATTACCTGTTTCTATAGCGTTAACATCTGCTAGTTCTAGTTTTTAATTTAGTTCTGGTCCCTTTTGTCCCCTAGAGGCTGAAGTAGATGATATCGTCCGGGCCCTAACCACACTGACCTTAGTCTAGTTGTGCTCTTGTTAATGTCCGTAGGTTACTCCAAGAGGCTAACACTCGTCCTGTTTTAGAGCATGCAATTTTTGTGTCTTTTGAAATTGTGTTTATTTATTAATTTCTGTGTGTGACGATTACCCTGTGGCAACATTTTGCTGAGCCAAGCGTGGCGGAGGTGTGCAGAGGGTCTCTGAATAACAGGCTATAGCCCCGTCTCACCTTTAGCCAGGTTGCCAGAAAAGTGACCACAGCCTCGCCAGGCCTCTGTTCAAAATCCCTTCATGGGCACAAGAACCCGGAAGGATGTTCACATTTGCTTTTAGGAGGTGAAAGAACTGAGCTCACTACCTCTCCCTTTTCTGTCTGGCAGGATGGTAGCTGGAAGGTTCTAGGGAGAATGGGTAGGGGAACCTCGTGCAGCAGCAGCTGCAGTTGTAAAGTGCAGCATGAACTTGGGTTCAAATCACGGGTACATGCATCCTGCAGGGGAGTTAAACCCCCAGTTCTGGTCAACTCTGTTCTCTAGCAGTAGGTTACTTGCAACGTGGATTTCCATGTTTGGGAAAACTGACCAGCTACTTAGTAGCTCTACTGCCAAGAATGCAGAAAGAGGGTGATTCTCCCCAGGAAGGACACCCTAATCGTGTAAGCTATAAATAGTGGATCTGGGAGCAGGGGTAACAGGAAGCACACCTGCTGCTCCGGGAACAGAACTGTGGTCTGGTCTCAGCCAGCATAGATGCCCCCCAAACTTTGCGTCCACTGAGGCTCAGCTTCTTCCCAGGCTGAGCTCAGAATGGTGGAGGGAAGTCTTAAGCTGCACACTCTTTTCATAAAAAGCTCCTGGCTCCTGAAAGGCACTCAGGGAAGCTTATCTTTTGGAAATTTATTCAGAAATACTGCAGCAACAGCAGAAACTAAGTAGCTCAGTGTAGGCGTTCTGAGATTTCGAGCAAGTGCTAAATCTACTCTCTCAGCAGAGTTGGTTCCTGAATGGACCGGTTCTGGAAGGATTTGGAATCATGTGTTGGGTGGAGCTGACGGCTAGGGCTGGCAACTCAGCTCTGCCCTGATTGCATTCAGAAGGCACGAGGGCACCTTCCTCCTGGATCTTTACCTGGTCTTCGGGTGTCCTCTCCTCTAGATGTAGCAGTGAACGAAGGCCGGCTTAGTTATATGACAGAGAGGAAGGCTAGGGTCAGGCCTCCTTCTGAGTGTCTAACCAGTAACGGGGTTTTGAGTACTGAATCGGAGGAACTGGGTCTTGAAATTCAAAGGTCATAAGCGGTTTTCATTCACTGCCAGCCCAGCCTTTGTTAGGGTGAGCATTTTTTTGTTTGTTTTAAAAGCCAACATTTAATTTTTTTTAGAAAAGGAGACCTCTAGATTTTATTGTTTGTTGTCTGCCAGTATGAAGATGGATAATTAACCAAGATTCCAAGAAGTCCTTTGGAAAATGGTGGGGTCAGTTCTCTATTCCAAGTCAATCGTGAGTGATACAGCAGCAGGCATTGCTAGTGTCATGAAAGGTCAGTTTTCTCAATCACCTAATAAAGGTATGGCTTAAAGAATTAAAAAGCAAACTTCTTTTAGATAAAGAGAATGTGGCACAGTTTTAGAGTTGAATGTGCCTTTTGCAATGGCTTGAGCAGAGTAAGAGAATATTATGCTCTCACTAGAGTTGGTTCTTATGGACTTTCCTTGCACCCTCATAGCCTTCCTAGAGTTGCTGAAGTGAGGATGTTTGCCCAAGGGGTATCCTGTCATGCCTAGAGCCATCCTGAGAAAAGGTTACCCTTGGAAGGAAGATGCCAACGTTTGCCACTGCCAGAACAAACCCCAGTTATTGCTGCTAGAAAATGAGGATAAGTTTTAGGAAGGACCTTCTCTGAGTTCTCACTCCCATTCCTTGAAAGACACAAAGGCTGTCTGAACTTGAACAAGAGCGGCCATCAGTTTAGCTGTGGGCTTACACCGAGCCCAGGAACCAGGGGTGTTGGTTTCTGAAGCTGGCTTATCTTGGCCACGGACAGTGCATTCCCCTGCTGTGATGTCGGGGTGCAGGTGCACAGCCTGCTCCTGTAGCACTGGAGGTAGGCGCTGGGTACACCCCACCTCCAAGGAGGAGACAGTATAGGGTCAGCAGGGGCTGGCACCCGGGACAGAGTCAATGCTGCCGGCCCCTCCGGGTTGGGAGGCGTAGGGGAGAGCCATTCCTCAGCACTTGAAGTTTGTTGAAATGTCTCAATATTAGTGTTGCTCTCATGGTTCCTTAATAGACTACTCCACATTTGGGGGCATGAATATGTCAAAACAGGGATGAGCAGGTGAAACTAGCCAATATCTCAAGGACACCTGCTTCAGAGCGGCCCGATTTGAAAGCCGGGCTTACCTGTTGGGAGGTCCCTTTGTTTCTGTGAAGGCAAAGGAAGTTTGGCTCTAATGGGACAAATGGAATTCCAACCTGGGAAAAAGTCCCTGTTTCATGTATTTTTAGGCCAGGTGTCTGCGTGCTGTCAAGAAACTCTTAGGTGGAAAGTTCACAACCTCTGTTTGCCCTGAGAGGGGCTGCTTCCCTCTCAGAGCTGCTAAAGCCCTAAAGAAATGATGTGACAATTTATTATGACTCTTTCCTCCACGAATGAACCACACACCTTCAGAATCTCATTGCCTGAATGTTACCTCTTCATTTGCTTCCGTACCATGAAGCGACACAGACAATTTCTTTCCGGGTATAAAGGTTATAAGTGAGTCTCTACTTTTTAAAAGAGGCATCTTGAGACTCTTTTGCTTTCACAGTTTGCCCCCTAGACGGCACATGGCAAGTAGAAGTTAAAGCATTGTAATATATTGTGGTTAAAGCACATAAAACCCTATCCCTTTGCCAGAATGATATGGACAATCACTCAAACAGTTCAAGCCAATAAATAAATAAATAAAAAGGAAAAAAAGGAGAGAGAGATACGCTTTTACCAGAATTAACCAGGCCATCAAGTCATGATGAGTTAGTAGCCTGTCTTGCTCTGATTCCAGTGACATTGTACTCGATGGTTTAATGAGGTACCCTCATCTGGAAGGTACGAGACAGAACCATGAGTGTCAACGCAATGTTGGAGATGCAGTGATGTTTTTCCAAATGTTTGTACAGCTCTCAAAGGGGACTATGTGTTGTGATTGCTGACGGAGCAACTTCTGAATGTTTGCCAATGAAAAACTAAAGATCCCTTCGGTGTCCAAAACGTCTCAGATGCACCATTTTAAAGGTTCTCCGTGCAGAAAGTTGGTTAGCATTAACTTCGTTAGTCCCGGCCCCTCGAACATTCCCTTTCTCTTGAGGGCAAGAATGACACTCGATGTTAATTTGCTTTGCCCCCTGTGCACACTGCAGCAGCCAGAGCATCACATTTCATAGGGTTTTGAGGGCAGCAGTGGCTGTCGTACCATCCAGATGCCGAACCATCCCTACCCCGCCCAGTCACAAACATTAAGGAGGATAGTTGTTTCTGTTTCTTTGGGACCCTGAAATCAGAGAGTGAGGCACACAGGTTGTGCTATAAATACACGCCACCCACGTAGGTATATGCCTGTGTATACACATGAAGAGGTAGGTAATGGCAAAACCAAAGTGCTTTTCCCCTCTTCTGCTGGTTCACCTTAAGCTGGGGTCCAAGGTCCCTTCCCTCCTGACACCTGATCCGATGGAGACAGCTGGTCCTGCGGAACTGGCTCTTTGTTTTCAGGCAGGGTTGGAGGCCTCTGCAGCTGTTCCTGGCCCAGTCCCTTACCTGAACGGCAGGGCCTGGCAGGCGCACAGGCTCAGGGTTTGAAGTCAGAGAGGCCCTGCTCTCTGCTGGGCCGCCGGCCACCTGTTCTCACGCATGGGGTTCTCCTTCCCACTTCTAACTCGCTTCAGCTTCTCTTACTGACATGCCCGGGTTGCCTCTTCCATTCTTCCCTTCAGTATCTGTGTGCCGCGATGATCTTTTTTTCCCCTTTTTTTTCACCTTCATTTTTCTTTCCTCAGCGGCTCCTGCTAGCTCTTCCACCCCTGTTCCATTGTCTCGTCCGGATAGTGAGTATCATTTTCTTCATCCATCTCTGCAGGTTGCTTGCTCTCTGCCGGCCACAGTGGGCCTGCCTCACGTTACCTCCCTTACCAGGTGCTAATTCCACTCTGTGGGTGGAGAGCAGCACGGGGTTTAGAGAAGCAGATGAGAAGTAGGCACAGGTCCGCTCAGATGCACGGTGGACAGCTCTCCCCGCAAGAGGAGGCGAGTGGGAAGCGTGGCTCTGGACAGGCTCCCTGAGGCTGTGGCAGCCCCAGCCCTGTCCTCGGGATTCATAGCAGGCTGATTGTTTGGAGAAGCCAAAGGGATTTCCCAAGAAAGATGTCTGTTCTGCAGGGTCATCAGAAATGTTTGGGTCCCTGTGTTTTCACCCTTCATTTTAATCGGCATAGTTGGATTCAGACATTGAGATTAGCTAGCGAGCTCTACAGCTTTTGCTTTCTCCATAA